CAGTATTGTAGATTCTGTCTGAAATTGTCAAACAATGAAACATTTTTAGTTGCGGAATTTTGCGCCGGGGAGTGTATATGAAGTTCTCCATTATATAACTTGGTATTTCTTACTATCTTCTTCACTGCCCTAGAGTAAATGTAAAAAAAAACACCTTGTATTTGCACTTTGTTTACATTTCAATGACTTTTATCATAACTCTGATTTACAATATAAAAACAGCTGGAAAGTATGGATATTGAATTAATTTATTGGTTTTTTGTTATATTTGATGTCACTAGAAGTTCTGGACTGTTAAAGATATACAGAGTCTAAAACCTATTGTGTATTCAGTCTCCAAAGAATTCTTCAATATATGCACTTGGACGACTGGATAAGATCGAAGAGTATATTGCACCTACATTTTATTATGTAATTTTTTATAATCAATAGTTTTCGTTTCAATGGTGCCACCATTCTTGGGCGTATAATTTGTATAGCAGACTTTTAGAGATAAAACTAAATACAAAACAAATAACATCACGCAAAAAGGGCATTAGGTAGTATCTTCGGTACTAATGATTCGACCGTAATATATCACACATCAAATAAAACTGTTGGAGGATGGGGAAATATATTACCATGTAGAAAAATCAAAGATGGTATCTTTCTCGAAAATAAACTAAATTTTATAATCGTTACAATTGGTCGTATCGCGACATATCAAATGCAAGACGGTGATGTTTATATCTCAAGAGGGACGTTGTGCCTCTTAAAGAAGGACCTCATCCGGTTAAAGGGAGATTACCTTTTCTGATATGTGCTCTTATCTGCTGGCTATTGGTCCATTCTTCATTTATTGCAGTGCCGAAGTAGTTGTAGTGCGTCACTCTTTCGACTGGCATCTGGTTGACGTAGAGTTGACCTTATGTTATTTTTTTCTTGCTAATATATTATGAGCTTTATCTTATCTACGTTTATATTGAGTCCATATTATTAACTGTAAAACGTGATTTTGTTCATAAGGCCTTGTAGATCTTATAGAATGTCGTCAAATATTATGGTGCCATCTGTATATCTGGTGTTGTCTAATCAAAACCCTTCTAGTAGAATTACATTTTTTAATTTCGTGCAAAACTTCGCTAAATATTCTTTCAGAGTAGAGATTAAAGATTAGAGGAGATACAGCCTTACCTTACCCACACACCACTTTCACGTATTCGGTATGTTCACCTTCAATTCTTTATCGTGCTGTACTTAATTAAAAGCTTTCTCGTAATCAACCGGACATGAGTATACGACTCAAATGACGTCTCTGCATCTCTGGAGTAAGATGTGTACTAAAAACAAAACCTCTCTTGTACCAACAGCATTTATAAACCCAAACTTATTGGGGGAAATTTGACTTTCACAAAGCTTGTAAATTCTCTTATGAATTATGTAAATTACTGATGCATGGTAAACACTCAGATAGCAAAAGTATGAAAACTGCTCTAAGCTAGATACTCGGTATTAAATTATGAAACAAGTATGATATGCCTAAATAAAAAAGTGGAGAATGATGAGTATATTAACAAAAAAATGACGACTTGAAAAACGGAATTAAGTTATATATTGCTTATATCTTTCCATACAATTTATGATTTTGTTATTAAAGTAGATTAGCTCAATACTAGTACATCGATTATAAGATTCCAACAAGTACAGGAGGCGTACAAATTAATAAGTTACAAAAACCTTTTTATTGTTCAATGAGTTCTGTGATGATGTCTTTATACAGGACTGTTCAAAGTTGAAGAAAAATAAGAAATATCGATACCTTCTTATCTTGGTTTTGTCCAAAATTTTATAAAATAATTATGACCAACCGGATAAACTTCGAATACTATACAACTTAAAATATCAGTAAGCTGTGTCCTAAAACGAGGAAATGGAAATAACTGATTTTGTCTAGCTAAAATATATATTTCTTGAAAATAATTAAATATATTTTTGTAGTAAATTTCCCAAAAAACTTAATTCATCTTGCATCTATTTCATCTGTAAAATATGCAAGTAAATAAGGTAATACTTAGGAATAAATACCTTAAAAGAATATATTTTGAATTTGTATGTTTTAGGCTTGGGCAAGTATTAACTTATTTTTGATAGAGATCAAGAAGACGGACTTGTTGCTCACATTTTGAATATGAAAAGTAGAATGCTTGGGTTTACTTTGACTGAAGTTAGAGTTCTTGCATATGAACTAGCTGCAAGACATAATTTACAACATAATTTTAATACTGAAAACATGACCGGCAAAGCATGGCTTTTCTTGTTTTTAGCTAGACACATAAATTTTCGGTTGAATAAACCTGAGGCAATATCCATTGGACGTGCAATAGAGAATGTTGACGGCACAGGAATAACCACTCTGCCAAATGAGAAATAGAAGGCCATTTAATTAATACTTAAATACTGCAGAGATTTGTATGAATACAAGTAGTTTCTACATACAGACGATGTTGATATTTAAAAGGAAACTTACAAATCCTCAATAATTGGATCATATTCCAGAGATATTTTTGTTAACTGGTTAAAGAAATTTATACAATTTGCTTATCTTACAGCAGATGATCCTATTTTTCTTTTACTGGACGACCATGCGGCTTATACCAATAGCATATAACCAATAAATACGGTACAAACAAATAACGTCAAATGGATTACTCAAAATTCGGGACAGCAGATCACAATTTACGAGGTGGGAAAGCTTTTTGGAGATGCTTTAATGAAAGCAGATAACAAGGAAACTGCGGTTAATGGGTTAAAAAAACCGATATTTTAGATTAGTTGTTTACCCTATCTCAAATTACAAGTAGGCAAATTAATTGTCAAGAATATCCAGGACTCATATCAAATGAGCCCAAAGCTATATTTTAATTAAAACATCAAAGTCATCCTAGCATCTCCAGAATCTACACATACGTTCATGAGTTACATTCTTCAACATCTTGTGGAAAATGATACATTAGGTTTGGAACTCAATTTCAAGTACTGCGCTCTCACTACTCGTGTATTTGAGAAGTATGCTACTACTGGGGTACTTGGCAAGTCCAGCAGGTTTTTTCGCATCTCGGCCTTCAGTGTTTATTTTATAAGCCAAACACAGAACTGCAGAAATTAATTGCCACCGAGTCGGCAAGCAGTGGGAGCACAACGACAAATACGCAAATAATTGTACAAGTAATGACCAAGTGAACCACGTCCACTACATGGCAAATATATGCAAGTAAGAAATATTCTCTTGAAGAAAACTCTTGGAGGAAGAAGGAATAAATTGGATCACAGCTGTCTTCAATAAAATATACAATACAGGAATCATCCCTGATAAATGGCTAGAATCAGAATTCCTAGTGACACCAAAAAAACGGGGTGCTAAAAAGTGCGAAGAATATCGAACAATCAGCCCAATGAGCCACATGTTGAAACTGTTTCTTAGAGTCATCCATGGAAGAATTTATAAGAAGTGCGAGGAACAAATATTGGACAGACAGTTCGGCTTCATTAACGCAGTGGATACCAGAGAGGCACTTTTCGGAGTACAGGTACTGATTCAAAGATGCAGGGACGTTAACTGCGACGTATGAAAAGGCATTTGACAGAGTTCAACATCAAAAGATGATAAACATTTTAAAAGAGGTAGACCTGGATGACAAAGACCTCAGAATAATTTCAGAACTCTACTGGAATCAGACCTCATACATGAAAATTAACGGAGAAGAAACAGATCACATAAAAATACTACGTGGAGTTAGACAGGGATGTATCCTATCGCCGTTGATATTTAATACGTACTCAGAGAATATGATTTCCAACATCCGAAACGGATAGGAACCAGAAGAAGAAGAAGAAGAAATATTTGTCAAATACATGAGTAGTCAAAATCCTCCATTAGAGTATCAATAAAACAAATCTTAACCATTGCTTGTTTGTATTTTTCCCATAATGACTTTCATACACCTATTAAAAGCTAAATTTACTTGGAAACAATACAGTCTCACAATTTTTAGGTATATATTAGTACCTATACTTTTTAGCAAGCCGGTTACTTTGAAACTTTTTTAAACTTTACTCCTACAGATAGTAAACAAATATTTTTTGGAAATATCAAAATGCCAAATAAAACTACAGAAATGTCTTTCCAAGTTTCTATAAAACTACAAAATTATTCCCAAAATTAATTTAAATGAGGCGATTTTTTCAAGTTGTACACGATTTTGTCCAACTCTTCCCTATAGAAATAAACGAAAGTGCGGATATTTTACAATATACTAAAAGCTACTTGCCTTTTAAAAAATCAGAGTGATACATAACGAAAAACACAATATATTAAAAACATTAAATATTCAAAAGGTAAGGTAAAGTTTAATAAGTATTTAACAAATAAATAGATCACAATTATTTTTTCATTTAATATAATGTAGAAAACTTCACAATATAAACAGTCATCTTCAATAGTTTTACAAAACTTGCCCAAATGTAGAATACTTAAAACTTCCAGATACATCGATTTATCCTGACCATTGCTTTAAATAAGATAGGTCATGTATTATGCATAGTGATATAGCGTTCAAATAGCTTAAAGATATTGTAATAACAGGGGGACCTCAATAAATTTCATGCCTAACTTTCAAAATTCATATCATTAATGGTAGGTACCATGATTATGATTATGTAGTAAATTACTATCCTCAAGGTACTGACAGTGTATCAGTACCTTGAGTAGGTAGGTATTAGGAGTGTCATTTTTACAAATGATATATTTAGTAAAACGTCACATTCATATTCTCTTCGAAAGAATAAATAAAAATCTCTTTTATACAAGAATGCACAAGAAAATAACTCATGAGTTTCAAATAGTGATTTTAAAAACTCAAAATTAACTAGGCGAACTAGAACTTTGTATATTATTCCCTGTATATATACGATAATTTATTAAAAATAAGTAAAATAGAAAATTCTGAAATATAATAACTCACCTTATGTCTATGTTTTGAACTCATGTTTAAATCAGCAGGAAAACCCAAACTGTTTTCGCACTTTTCACAACTTTTTTCGACTCAAGGCCTTCCAACCATCTGTTGGATGATCCCGGAGTGGCAATGATTTTGAATGCTTCAGTGCGTCCCCACTAAGAACCGTTTTGTGGGAGGATCCGTGTGTCTATCGAATTCTGCCAGGGCTATTTTTAAGTTGTCTTTCTTATCTTGTCTCTTGTACCTTTTGCCGTATGTTTTGGTGTAGGTTCTAATTTATTTTGTTGTCAGAAGCCAATGCCAATTTTCTGCATGAGTGTGGATATATTACACGATGTAGGCAGGTATATCATAACATTGGAATATTTATAAACAAGCCAGGCGGATTAATTAGCTTGTAATAATTATTTTGTAATACTGGGACTGTAAAACTTTTGTTGAAAAAATTTTTTTTTTGTGATGATCCATAAAAAATATGATAAAATCAATTATCTGTTCAGTGAAGAGTTCGATAGAAAATTGATCAGGTTCAGACATTTTCCAAGGTATATTCACGACAGATGATAACAGAAATCAGTGGAAGAAAATATATTCGTACTACCCTGTGTTATAATCGATAACGATTCCAGTAAATGTTCCACATATAGATTATCTACTTTTTTTTAAGTTATACTTCTATTAGAAGTTATTAGTTATATTCTAGACGTTTAAAATTTGTACGGGAGTAAATCGGCGAAATCATTACATATGTAAGATATGAGTAAGAGAGAGACAGAAGATATATCTTCTCTCACTAACTAGGTTCTCGGGAAGAACCGCGTTGAGAATTTAACGCTCGACGTTTCGGCTCCCATTTTGGAGCCATTATCAAGTTCGCAATATTTATTGGTTGATATTTACCAGAAAGATATTAGTGAAAATTTTTACAAGATTAGTGACAGTAAATCCAACAAATTTGCTCCCGTTTTAATCGTAATTTTCATTTTTTAATATATTGTGAACATTGTTTAGATTTTTCTATAGTTTTTGTTTGTTGCAATAACTGAGCGTACATTACAATACTTTGATGCCAACACATCTGTGTTGTATCATATAGGGGGCGTTCAAGTAATACGTAATGCAATTTTTGGAGATTTTTGGCCTCCCCTTCCCCACGTAACGCACCGTAACGTTTTACAAGAGCCTCCTCCCAGTGACCATTTTTAACTAAAAGTAACAATTAAGTTGCGAAAAATAACTTTGTTATTTTTTATTAACTATAAAAGTCGGTAAAAGAACTTTCTAACTCGCAAAAATAAAACAGATATTTCTAACTCGCAATAATAAACTTTTGCTGCTAATCTTTATTTTTTTTATGTTTTCCTTCCTGCATTCCTATACATAGATTTTATCCTTATGGTTCTTTTGATACATTCTTCTATTTTAACTTTTTTAATAATAAACTCATAAACTACTATATTTATTTCTACATTTGACAATACAATCAGAAACAAAATTGTAACTGAAATAAAATATTTTATTCAAATTAAAATCGTTTTCCTAAAGAAAACTATAAATATAATCACAAGGCAGGTATCTTCTTCTTCCTATGTTCTATTAGGTCCCTCTAGCGCTGGAAATTACATTGTCGAATTTTTTACTGCCCTTAGCTAATCGAAATAATTGTGCAACACTACGTATTCCTATCCTAACGTAATGTTGTTATTAGCAATGACATCTTATTTCCAATTCCTCTGCGGCCCTTGCTTTTACATTTAGTTTTTAATAACATGAGTCCTAGCGGCATTTGCCGCTCCATACGGTTAATCGGATCAGCCTTTAGAGTCCAGGTCTTGGTGCTAAGTAACAAAACGGATAAAATATAAGATTTTACCATTCTTTGACGTAATTTTAGGTTTATGTTGAGGTCACAGAAAAATAATATCATTTTTCGAAACGTGAAAGCTGTTTTAATTCTACACTTGATCTCTTTACTTGGATTTATTTGGTCTGCAAGGTAGCAACCCAAATATTTAAAGTTAGTAACTCTCTTAATGTTTTGTTGATCTATCTGTAGCGAAGCACATTTAGTTAGTTAGTGTAGTTGACGACTGAAATCATAAATTTTGTCCTAGAAACATTAATTGCTAGATTCATCTCTATTTCTGTCGTATTTACGCAATGCAACAACTCTTGAATGCCCTGGGGACTATCGCATAAGCTAACAGTGTCGTCAGCGTATCTAAAATTAATAATCAGTTTACCACTAGACGCAAAGAACAGCAAGATTCAGATAGACCATGCAAGGACGTTATGGTACCAGAAACAACGAGGCAAACAGAATTGATACCAAAGTCTAAAATAGAGTCTCGTTCGAAACACCGAACGATTAACACGTATAGCAATCATAGTAATTAGTGATAATCGATTTTTAATATTAACAAGTTTAAAATAGGTCATAATTTTTACCTAAGTTATAATCAAAATTTATCAATATCAATAGTTTTCTAAGCAAAAATTATGTAGTGATAAAGTGTGTGAAATTTCCATGCAACATTATAACTAAAGTAAGACATATATTATTTTATTTTAAAAGTAAATAAACAGTTTATTAAAAAGTGAGAAATAAAAACAAAAGACAGGTTTTTCACATTATCGTAATATTTCGTGCCTCTTATCAGTTGGACCTGCTACAAGGCAGGTCCGGCCTGAGGGGGCACATATAGTTATTGAAAAATAATGGAACTACAAAATATTTCTCCTAATATTACTAACACCAACTCTAACAATCAACAACATAGTTATTCGAGAGCCCTGAGCCAACCAAAATTCCCATCAAAAAATCAAGCTATAGTTTTCAACTCCCTTAATTGAATAAAACTAGAGGAGTATCTTATAGCCATCGGAAGAAAAATTAATCCAAAAAATATACTTTTCTCGTCTAGGATATCTAACAATAGAATATGTGTTTATCTATCCAGTGTGACAAAGGTCGACGAATTCATGAACACTGATAATGGAATAATTACAGTAAACTCAGAACAAATTCAAACTCGCAGATTTATTACTCCAAGCCAACGTTTATTGTTATCTAATGTGTGCCCATCTATCCCACATGATTGTATAGAACAAGAACTCAGAGAACAAGGCTATAACTTAGTATCTCCTTTAAATTTTCTTAGAATTGCCGCAACCAACCCTGAATACAAACACATTCTTAGTTTTCGACGCTACATCTATATCTCACCTCCCAACAATACAGTTCCAGATTCGATAGTACTATCTCACGATAATATATCATATCGCATTTTCTTGTCTCATGAAAGTCAGCTGTGTTCAAAGTGTAACCAAACAGACCATTTCTCAAATAATTGCTTAACAGCAAGTCCAGAGCCTGCAAACAATACCAATATCTCTACCACTCGAAATGAAATCCTATCAATGAAAATCCCTATTACGACAGACCAACAAATAAATGATAAATCTTCACCTTCCCAACCTTTAACCCATAACATAGCACCAAATACACAATATAATAATAACGAAATAGAAAAACAACCAACCACAGAAATTTCCTTGCCCACCTCAGAACAAATGGAATCAAAATATTTACATAAAACAAGTTCCAAACGTAGTATTACAGAAGTAATAACACCTCCTCCGTCCTCACAAACTGAAGTTACATTTGCAGTACCAACTACTCAGAGAAAGAAGAAAACTAAAACTATTACTGAAGAAGAATCATCCTTGGCCAAAACACACCAACCAAAATCTAATGAAATATTGCCGTTACTGGAACCAACTAGGAGAATATTCGAAGAAGAATCGTTAAAACTCAGTTTTGACCAAATGGTCGATTTCTTTAAAAATGTTAAAGGAAACAAAGATCCCATAAGCTTAGTTAAAATATATACGGAGAACGTTGATGATTTTTTGAAACTATTATCTAAAATTCACCCTTATTACACCGATCGAAGTATGAAAAACAGAAGCACGAGAATAAGACGTAAGATTATGAAACAACTAAAAATTGACCCGGTAGCGATGAAGATACTTCTGGAAGAAGAATCCGACACCTCTTTCGATTCATCGTAAAGAATATAATAAATAGAAACAGTGGCGTCCATAATACAATGGAACCTAAATGGCTTCTACAGTCGCTTCGAAATGTTAAAGCATATTATCTCTGAAATCAACCCATTGATCCTTTGTTTACAAGAAACCAACTTTAAAGATTCCAACCACGCATTCAAGTTTCAAGAATACACAAATTTTTTCAAACACAGACAAAACGCTGAGATAGCTAGTGGTGGGGTTGCTATTTACGTCGATAAAAAATATGAAGCTCATCAATTACATATCAACACACAGAACTTTGAAGCAGTAGCTATTTCAGTAAACATGGAACAAAAAATCAATGTTTGCAACATATATTTACCTCCAGATCAAACCATAGACCAAGAAGATTTTGATAACCTATTGCAACAAATTGCCAGCCCTCGTATTATTTTAGGCGATTTCAATTCACACAACCCTATATGGGGCTTAACAAAAACTAACGCTAGAGGCAAGATAGTGGAAGTTATTATGACCTCACAAAATCTTAATCTGTTAAACGATGGTAGGCCCACGAGGTTTAATATTCAAACGGGTAGTCAGTCAGCCATTGATGTATCGTTATGTGATCCAACATTATCCCCAACTCTAGAATGGGACGTTATTCCGTACCTATACGGAAGTGATCACTACCCCATTAAAATTGCGTTTCCACAACAAAAAGACTCCAGTACTGCTACTACTGCATCAAAATGGAATATTAAAAATGCAAACTGGGAAAATTTTACAAAATATGTACAAAATAAAATAAACAACATAAAAGATGTTACTCTTAATGACATAGATAAAGACCTAGATACCTTCATATCAATAATCAACAAAGCAGCAGAAAATCATATTGGAAAAACAAAAACACTAAAATATCATAAACCTTTACCATGGTGGTCCTCAGAATGCAAAGAAGCCGTAAAAACATATAAAAGAGCTTTCAATAGGTTTAAGCATCATAAAACCAATGAAACTATGACAGAATACAAAAGACGTCGAGCGGAAGCTAGATATATTCTTAAAAAATGCAGGAAAACGT